TGGATTTGTTCTTCCATTTCCTCATCAACCAAGGATATGACTTCCCTTGGGATGAGTTCAAAACCTCCCTGCTTCCCGACACCTTTTTGGCATTTTTTCCATGCCTTTTCTTCCCAGCCCTGTGGCTCAGGGTGGAATATGAGCTGGTTTAATCCAGGCTTCCCTTTCCTGCCCCTTTTTTCCATGTTTTTTTGTCCAGGTGGGAACAAACACGATGGATAACCCTTTGCTCAAGTACAGCGCCAAAGAATATTTCTTCAAAGCTGCCCTGTGCCACTTCATCGTGGATGAGCTGAATGCCAAGGTCAGTTATCCCAGAATTCCCAATCCCTCCTCACCAGCCCCAGCCAGCTGGGAGAAGTTCGGTGGGCTCACAGCTATTATCCCAAAATCCCTGATCCCTCCTCTGCAGTGGCTGGAATTCCTGATGTGCCACTGTCACATTGGATTCTTAGTGGATATTTTCCCAAGTTTGAGGATGGGAATGCAAATCTTGGGGGGGGAAAAAATAGGAATGGTGTGCAAAGGGATCTCTTCTCTCTTCCAGCTTGCGCTGGAGAAATACGAAGAAATGTTCCCGGCTTTCACAGATTCCCGGGAATGCAAGCTATTGAAAGTGAGTAACCAGGGGATTTTCCCACTTTTCCAGGATTTTTTTCCTTTACCCCAGCATTTTAGAGGACATCAGCCTCGCTTTTCCCTGGGTTTGGCCCAGACCCCTGTTTGTGGTGGGTGCTTTGTTTGATGGGTCTCTGTTCCCTGGGATGAGATGCCGGAGTGGGAACATGCAGGAATAGAGCATTCCCTAATTTTTCCTGGTGTTTTCCCAGAAACTGCTGGAAGCTCATGAGGAGCAGAACAGTGAGGCCTACACCGAGGCTGTGAGTACCCATGGGTGCACTTGGGAATGCTGCCTCTTCCTTCTCTTTTTTGGGATGCCTGTGCCCTGCAGAGAGGGACCGGGGACAGCTGCTCCAGCAAGGTCCCAGCTCCTTCATTTGACATTCCTGGCTTTTCATGGACAGTTCAGATCCTGTCTGGGTTTGCTGTGGCTCCCTTGATGTTTGACAGGAGCTTTAAATGCTTGGGTTGGGTTTGGAGAGACTTTTCTCTGGACTGTGGCTCTGTGCCTTTTCCCTTTTTTCCTTTTTTTTTCCTCCATTCCCTTTTTTCCTCTGCTTTCTGTTGTTTCCCCCCCACTTCCCCTTTTTTTTTTGCCCTTCCTCCTTTTCACCCCCTTCCCTTTTTCCCTCTGCCCCCTTTCTTTCGCTTCCTCCTTTCTAGTACCCTTTTCCCTTTTTTCCTTTCCTTTTCCTTTTTTCTTTCCCTTTTTCCCCTTCCTGTTTTTCCTTTCCCTTGTTTTTCCTTTCCCTTGTTTTTCCCCACTTTCCCCTTGCATTTTTTCCCCCTTTCTCCTTGCATTTTTTCCCCCTTTCTCCTTGTATTTTTTCCCTCGTTTTTCCCCTTTGTTTCCCCTCCCCCTTGGTTCTTTCCCTTTCTCCTCTTCCTCTTTTCCTCTTCCCCTTTATCCTCTCTTCCTCTTTTCCACCCTTCCCTTTTTTCCCCCTTCCCCTTGTTTTGCTTTTGCCCTTGTTTCACCTTTGCCCTTGCTTCCCCTTTGCCTTTGTTTCCCTTTATTCCCTTTTCCCCTTATTTTTCCCTCCCTTTCCCCTTGTTTCCCCCCCCGCCTTTCCCTTTATTGTTTTTTTGCATTCCCCCCCTCCCTTTTCTCTCCTTTTCCCCCTTCCCTTTATTCCCAGGAGGAGCCCATCTCTGCCACTCCTCCCCCCCCCCACCCCCCCCCCGCATTCCCGCCTCTTTCCCTTTCCCTTCCGCTCCCTGATCCACAATTTTGCCGGTGCCAGGTGAAGGAATTCGACTCCATCTCGCGGCTGGATCAGTGGCTCACCACGATGCTGCTGCGCATCAAGAAAACCATCCAGGGCGAGGGTGACGGCGACCTCAAGTGACGCCCGCGGGCCCTTCCCGCCTCCAGCCGAGGACTTTTCGGGAATTCCCGACCCAATCCCGCGCTTTCTTTCGTCGCTTCCCGCTCCCATGGCTCACTGTGTTTCTTTAGCCCTCGCTCTGTGGTGACGCTCCGGGCGGATGCCAGGCGGGAGAAGCCCTTGGAGCGGAATTCCTCCTTCTCCTCCTCGGGTTTGGTCCTGCCCATCCCGGTGCCTGCACTCGCAGCTCCCGGTTTTCCTGCTGTTCCGTTGGTTCCAGCATGTAAATATTCCATCACAGCCAGCACAGTACCAATAAGCGCTTCCAGCCCGTTGTGTTCCCGTTTTCCCGTTCTCAAGTGTTGGATACACTTGGATTTGGGGGTCTGGAAGTGGTGCTAGGCAGAGGCTTTGGGAATTGGGAATATCCTGCACACTCCCACCACGCCATAGGCATTCCAAGAGCCTTGGGTTGGTGTCAGCCCTAGGTCCTGGTTGGTTTCCATCTTTCTTGGATTGATTTCCCACTTTAGTTCGTGGTGCATCCCATCCCTCCACTTCCAAATATTCCACCTGAGGAAGGATCTGTTTTTGTACCTCACCCTCTGCGTGTGCCGGGCACAATCCCTAAATTCCGACCCTTTGGCTGCACGCGGGTGTGGATCCCACAGGAGCCTTGTTGCAATTTGGGTGGCAGGGGGGCACAGTTTGCTTGGGAAAAGTTGAAAAATTCCTGCAGGAATTGATGGGTGTGTGGTTAAGGAGGGAGGATTGAGCTGCCTGGTTTTTCCAGGATGCGTCGGAGGCGTCGGGAGCTTGTGCAATTTGTCACTCTTTGGGAAGAGTGAAGTCAGTAATTTAGGGCTGTTCTGGAGGCTCCAGGCAGCCCCAGCCCCTCTTTCCTCTGGAAGAAGTCAGGTTGGAATGTTGGGCTTTGGATAGAGCTTGGCTTGTTGGGCTCTAAAGTTCTGAAAACCAAAAATCCCGATCCATGCCAAATTCTCCTTGGTTTGGTGTTTTCCCACCCTTCCCGATCTCTGTTTCCCACAGGTCCTTGTGTTCATCCCAAACATCCCAACCAGATGGAAAAGTTGGGAGGCATTGGGGGGGGATCTCCCAGCTCCCGGCTTGGAAGCACATGGAGTTCATCCATTCCCACCCTCAGGAATGGCTTTATCAGGCGTCCAGCACTGTGGGAGCCGGGATGAGGGGAAGCACAGCTTGGGAGGCTCCACTTTTCCCGGTGTTTTTTCGGTTCTGTTGCCGTTCCCCGTGTCGGTGTTGTAGGACAGGAGGAGCAGGAGGGCTGTTACTCCATCCCTACACCTGGTAGTTGTGTGTGAGTAGCTCCAGCATGTCCTCTGCTGTATCCATGGTGAATTGTGACGGTTCCCAGGTGACAATTCCGCCACTCCCGCTGTATTCCCGCCCCACCTCCATCACTCTCTACTTGGAAAACTTATTTAAGGAAATGGCCTTAGCAAGAATATCATGTTTGGTGTGACTCTGTACATGAATAAAGTGAAAATCATGGATGGAAGGAGGGAGAAGTGGTTCTTCTGGAAAACTCAAAAGGCTGGAGCATGGTGGGATGATGGAGGCTGGGAGGGGTGTGATGCCTTCAATTCCTGTTGGGAATCAGGGAATGGTGTGGGTGGGAAGGGACACCTTCCACTATTGTGGCTTGCTCCAATCCCTGTGAATACTTCCAGGCATGGGGCAGCCACAGATTCTCTGGGAAAACTCTTCCAGGGCCTCCTCACCCTCACAGGGAAGAACTCCTTCCCAATAACCCTCCTGAATTCCCCTCTGTCACTGGGAAGCCATTCCCTCCCTCTTGTCCTGTCACTGTAATTCCTGATGAAGAATCCCTCACACTTTTCCTTGCAGGCCCCTTCTGAGGTTTCCAGGGAACCTTCTCCAGGTGAACTTTCCAAGCCTGTCAATATCCCAGTGTCCCACTTGGATACGACTGAGTCACTGGGAGGTCTCCATATTCCATATTTTAATAGGAACAGCTCAAACAAGTAACTCACTTACAAAACATTCCCCGGCTCCAGATCCCAGTGCTCAGCCCTTAAATATATCTACAACACCTTTCCTTCCATTGGGAATAACTGAGCTCCAGCAGGAATAAACATCTCAAATATAGCCTCTTGGAAATGTCCTCTGGTACAAAAATTCCCTTTTTTCTATCCTAGAGTTCCACGAGAAAGCCTCTGCCATCCCTTTATCCCAAAAAATAGCTTTGTGCCACTGGTGGGGGGGGGGTCTTTATTGCTGGATCTCACCAGGCTGGATTGTGCTTACCTTTCCCAAAGTTCTGCTCACAGCTTCAGCTGAGGAACTGCTGTGGGAATACTACAGGAACAGGCAAAAAAAATGGGAAAAAGAATGGGACAAGCTGTGGGTTTTTACACTGGGAAGTCCATCCCAAGGTTTGAAGCATTAAACCATAGCAGAGTGAGCTGCTGTTGCGAAAAACCAGGAGTCAGCCCAGCTGGAACAACACTCCAAGGCTCTTTCCCTGCCAGGGGAAATCCCTCAAATCCTAGTCCACTAAAAATGGAGCAGGAAAAGCCTCTGAACTGAGCCCCTTCCAGCACAGCTCCTTTTCACAGACTTTCTTCTAGGTAGGAGATGTCCTGTTCTCCTGATTCCATGGGAGCTGGAGCAGCTGGAAGGTGAGAACTGACAGGATCCAAGTGCCAGACTGCTCCAGTTTCCCTACAATTGTAAAACCAAGGAAGTAGCACTTGGCTGCCACCTGCCCCTTTTTTCTGCTCAGAGACTCCAAACTCCTGGAATGAAACTCCAAAGCTGCTCCCACTCGTTGGGATCTTTGGCAAAAGCAGAGAGAAACCAATATTTCCTGAAAAGCAAATTTAGCCAGACTTCTCCTGGATGAAATTCCACTGGGGAAAACACAGCGAATGTCACAGAGAAACATCGGTTCTCCTGATTGTCCATGTGGCATTGAATTCCCTGGAAAACAAACCTGCACCACCAAGGTACCTGAGCCACCCCCTGAATTCCTAGGGGATCAACTCCCACAAATTCCCTGCTGTGGTGCCACCCTGCCCGACCATCAGGAGATGGAGCTGGGGAAGGAATTTCCAGAGGAAAGCTGGAAACCCACTCTTTCCCAGCTTGCCACCACCAGCCTCCCTCAGGCCAAGGACTGTACAGGGAGTGCAGCCTAAGGAGCAGGAGGCAATCCCAAATTATTCCATGTTCACCAGGGCATGGAGCTGGGGCTGCCCAGAGTCTGTCTGTGTGTGAAGCACGGTGAGCTCTCCCAGCAGGGACTCCTGTGCTCCAGAGGCCTTACAGTCCGTGCTGGAATTCCCACTTCCTGGGACTGCTGCCAGGCTCTGGTAGGGGCTGTTCTCTGGGAAGGACAGCAGCTTTTCTGGGATTTTGGGGGACACCTCGTATTCCTCATCAGGAAGCTCCGTTTTGTGCCCCTCGTCATTTTTTGCAGCTCCTTCCACAATGACGAGGAAGGATTTCCAGGGGGTGTTTTTATCATGGATCTGCAAAGGAATAACCAGGAGAGAAGATTGGATATGGGATGACAAAGTTTGGATCAAGCTTGTATTTGATGTTGGTAGAAAAAGTTTTTGTTATGGAGTCATGGAATAGTTTGGGTTGGAAGACTGGACCATAAAGATGACCCAGTCCCAACCCTTGCCATAGACAGGGACACCTTCCCCTATCCCAGGTTGCTCCAAGCCCTGTCCAACCTGGCTTTTCAACAATTCCAGGAATGCAGCACCCACAGGTTTTCTCGGAGAACTGTGCCAGGGCCTTCCCAACCTCCCAGGGAACAATTCCTTCCCTACATCCCCCCTAACAGCGGGAGGGGTCGTACCAAGGTGTGCCGGCACAGCATGGATTTGTCAGTGAAGGTCCTGCACCCACAGATTTTCTGGGAAAACTGTGCCAGGGCATCCCAACCTCCTAGGGAACAATTCCTTCCCAACATTCCACTTAACCCAACTTCCATCAGCTTGAACTGGAAGTCTGCTCTGGCCTTGGCCCGTCAGTCCCACGGAATGTGGGTCTGAGGAGCTGGAATGTGCTCCAGGCACGCCAGGACTGCGGGATCACACCGAGGTGTGCTGGCTCAGCGTGGATGTGTCGGTGAAGGTCCTGCACCCACAGCTTTTCTGGGAAAACCATGCCAGGGCCTTCCCAACCTCCCATGGAACAATTCCCTCCCAAGATCCCCCCTAGCAGCGGGATCATACCGAGGTGTGCTGGCTCAGCATGGATTTGTCGGTGAAGGTCCTGCACCCACAGGTTTCCAGGGAAAACCGTGCAGGGCCTTCCCAAGCTCCCAGGGAACAATTCCTTCCTGACACCCTCCCTAGCAGCGGGATTGTACAGAGGTGTGCTGGCGCAGGGTGGATTTGTCGGTGAAGGTCCTGCACCCACAGCTTTTCTGGGAGAACCGTGCCAGGACCTTCCCAAGCTCCCATGGAACAATTCCTTCCCAACGTCCCACTTAAACCCTGGCTTCCAATAGCTTGAACTGGAAGTCTGCTCTGGGCTTGACCCATCAGTCCCATGGAAGGTGAAGGAGCTGGAATGTGGTCCTGGCAGGCCAGGACTGTGGGATTATACTGAGGTGTGTTGGCGCAGGGTGGATTTGTCGGTGAAGGTCCTGCACCCACAGGTTTCCAGGGAAAACCGTGCCAGGGCCTTCCCAAGCTCCCATGGAACAATTCCCTCCCAAGATCCCCCCTAGCAGCGGGATCGTACCGAGGTGTGCCGGCGCAGGGTGGATTTGTCGGTGAAGGTCCTGCCGCAGGCGTTGCACATGAAGGGCTTCTCGCCGGTGTGGATGCGGTGGTGCCGCTGCAGCGCGTTCAGCTGCGTGAACTGCTTCCCACACTGGTCACAGCAGTACGGCCGCTCCCCTGGGAATGCAGCATGGGACACAGGCTGGGAACGCGGGCAGAGCACAGCTGCTGTGCCTCGGCAGTGCCCAGCTACCCCTGGCTGGCAGGGAGTGGTCAGGGAAAACATCCTGGGGTACAAATGTCACACTGTGACTCCTCTGGAGGCAGCAAGCTCCTCCCAGCCCCATAAAGATGTGCTGCCACTCTGTTTTTCCATGGATTTTCCATTAGAGACTCAAGTCCTGCCCAGAATCCAAGTATTCCTCCTCCTTGTTCACTCTTCTCTGAGCAAGAACCCCTGAGCCACTCCCAGCCCCGGGATCACTCTGAACACGCCACAAACTCCCTCTTTGGAAAGAGATCCCATTTTCCTCCTTCCCTGGATAAACCTTTGGAGCTATACCAGAGCTCTCCATCACAAATGATCCTGGCAGGTTATTAAGGTATCTCCACAGCCTGTGGAAGCAGGAAACATTCCAGGGAATTGCGGTCACTCAGGACTAGTAGGACAAGGGGAGAACATGATAAATCAAGCAGTGCACACGGGGGAAAAACCTGGCTGAGAATTCCTTGCTGGAATCTTGCAGTGGTGAGGGGTGTTGTATCCAAGAAAAGAAGCACATCCTACCTGTGTATCCAAGAAAAGGGACACATCCTACCTGTGTGGACTTTGATGTGCTGGTACAGGGAATTCCTCTGGGCAAAGGTCCGGAAGCAAACCTCACATTTGAAGGGCTTGGATCCCGTGTGGATCCGGTTGTGGTGTTTCAAGTATTCCTTGGAGGCAAAGCTCTTCCCACAGGTTTCACACATGAAAGGTCTTTCCCCTAGAAAAGGGGGGAAAATGAGGATTAAACCAGCAGAGTTTTGGGAATGCTCTTAAATATCCCACAGAAATTCCAGAGCGCGTCCTCACTGTGGGGATATTTAAAGGTCACCCAGTTCCGAACCATTCCATGGGCAGGGACACCTTCCCCTATCCCAGGCTGCTCCAAGTCACTCAGAACCTGGCCTGGAACAATTCCAGGGGTGGGGAATCCACAGCTTCTTTAGGAAAACTGTTCCAGGGCCTCACCACTCTCACAGGGAGGAATTTCTTCCCAAAATCCAATTTAAATCAACCTTCCCTCAGCTTCAAATCACAGGATATCCTTGGGAACCTTTCTCAGGCAAATCCCACCTAAGAGATGACAATATCTAATTTTATCCATAAAAATGCAGATAAAAAGCATTTTCTGAAGGCAACATTTTCCCTGGAATGTTTGGGATTGGATTTTCCCAGTTTTCCAGCCTCACCTGTGTGGCAGCGCCTGTGGTAGATGAGCATGTGGTTCTGGGTGAAGCGGGCCCCACACTCATCACACACAAAGGGCTTCTCCCCCGTGTGGATCCTGCAAGGAAAAAGGAATGTTGGAACTCCAGGATGAGCCTTCCCCTCATTCCCATTGATCCTTACTGCTGGATCAACACCCACATCCAAAAACGTTACGGTAAAAGCAAATTTTTCAGGGTGAAAAACAGCCAAATTCAGAAAATTCTCTCCAGGTTGTGGCACCAAATCCTTGGGATGTGAGGGAAAGCTTCTCAGGGGGTTGGGATGGCTGCTCTTCGTGGAGAGGCACATCCATGTGGCAAAATACATCCCCAAGGATGAGAAATCCCCACCACTGGATGCCACTACACCCAAATTAAGGCAGCGTTGAGTTTCCAGGGTCCAAAATTCCTGAAAGGGCTTTGGGAATGGAAAAAGAATCAAGTTTGATCCCTCAGAGAGGATTTTTCCCTCATAAAAATGTCTCTGTCTGAAGACAGATAAAATAACTGATAAAATCAGGTTAAACCCCTCAGAGAAGATTTTTACTCTGATAAAATGGTCTCTATCATGAGACAAGGTAAAATGACTGATAAAATCAGGTTCAAGCCCCTCAGAGTTAATTTCTGCCCTGATAAAAACACCTTCCGAAAAATAAAACTGATAAAATCGGGCTCAACCCCTCAGAGAGGAATTTTTGCCCTGATCAAAATGTCTGCTCTGAGACACATGAAATAACTGACAAAATCTGGTTAAAGTACCTCAGAAATTATTTTTACCCTGGTAAAAACATCCTGAGACAGATAAAATAACTGAGAAAATCTGGTTAACCCCTTCCAAGATGATTTTTGCCCTCATGAAAAGGGCTCTGCCCCGAGACAGATAAAAAAAAGGTACAAAATTAGGTTAAACCCCTCAGAATCTACTTCTGCCCTTATCAAAATGCCCTGAGGTAGATAAAACACTGACAAAAACAGGTTAAAACCCCTCAGAGGTGATTTTTTTCCCTGATAAAAACAGCCTGGGACAGATAAAACCCAGCGGGGGCCGGAGCAGCTCCGTGTGGGTGACATTGGTGACGCGCCACCTCCTCCTGTTCCCAGATCCATTGTTTTCCCTATTTCGCCCCCAGATCCGTCATTTCCCCATTGAAAACCCTGCAAAATGCTTCCCAAATATTTCCACACTTGTCTTTGTATTGAGTCTGAGGATGTGCTGGAGGAATTCCACCTGGATTTCCCTGCAGCACAGGCCTAGCCCATGCGGGATATGAGGAGAAAACAGGGACTGGGGAGGCCCTGAAAGGGAAAACAGGGAATTGGGAGGCCCTGAGAGAGAAAACAGGGATTTGAGGGCTGCACCCCATATGAAATCCGGGATTTGGGAGGCCTTGAAAGAAAAAACAGGGATTTGGGAAGGCCCTGAGGGCTGAACCCTGTATCAGGAGAAAGCAGGGATTTGGGAGGCCCTGAAAGAAAAAACAAGGATTGGTGCACCCCACATGAAAACAGGGATTTGGGAGGCCCTGAAAAAGAAAACAGGGACTGGGGAGGCTCTGAGGGCTGCACCCCACATGAAAATAGGGATTTGGGAGGCCCTGAGGCCTGGACTGCATTTAAGGAAAAAAACAGCAATTTGGAAGGCCCTGAAAGAGAAAACAGGGATTTGGGAGGCCCTGAAGGCTACACCCCACATGAAAACAGGGATCTGGAAGACCCTGAGGCCTGAACCCTGTATCAGGAGAAAACAGGAATTTGGGAGGACCTGAAAGAAAAAACAAGGATTGGTGCACCCCACATGAAAACAGAGATTTGGGAGGCCCCAAGGGCTGCACCCCATATCAGGAGAAAACAGGGATTTGGGAGGCCCTGAAAGAGAAACCAGGGATCTGGGAGGCCCTGAGACCAGCACCCCACATGGAAACAGGGATTTGGGAGGCCCTGAGGGCTGAACCCTGTATCAGGAGAAAGCAGAGATTTGGGAGGCCCTGAAAGAAAAAACAAGGACTGGTGCATCCCACATGAAAACAGGCATTTGTGAGGCCTTGAGGACTGGACTGTATTTAAGGAAAAAACCAGCAATTTAGAAGGCCCTGAAAGAGAAAACAGCGACTGGGGAGGCTCTGAGGGCTGCACCCCACATGAAAACGGATCTGGGAGGCCCTGAGGGCTGCACCCCATATCAGGAGAAAACAGGGATTTGGGAGACCCTGAGGGCTGGGCCCCATTTGAGGAGAAAACAGGGATTTGGGAGGCTCTGAGAGAGAAAACAGGGATCTGGGAGGCCCTAAGAGCTGCACCACATATGAAATCTGGGATTTGGAAGGCCCTGACAGAGAAAACAGGGATTTGGGAGGGCTCTGAGAACTGGACCCCATTTGATGAGAAAACAGGGATTTGAGGTGCACCCCATATGAAAACCAGGATTTGGGAGACCCGGAAAGAAAAAACGGGGTTTGGGAGACCCTGAGGGCTGCACCCCACATGAGGAAAAACGAGGGATTTGGGAGGCCCTGAAAGAGAAAACAGCGACTGGGGAGGCTCTGAGGCCTGCACTTCACAAGAAAACAGGGATTTGGAAGGCCTTGAAAGAGAAAACAAGGACTGATGCACCCCACACAAAAACAGGTATTTGTGAGGCGCTGAGGACTGGACTGCATTTAAGGAGAAAAACGGGGATTTGGGAGGCCCTGGAGGCTGCACCCCACATGAAAACAGGGATCTGGAAGGCCCTGAGGGCTGCACCCATATGAGGAGAAGACAGTGATTTGAGAGGCCCTGAAAGACAAACCAGGGACTGGGGAGGCTCTGAGGACTGCACCCCACATGAAAACAGGGATTTGGGACACCCTGAGGGCTGAACCCTGTATCAGGAGAAAACAGGAATTTGGGAGGACCTGAAAGAAAAAACAAGGAGTGGTGCATCCCACACGTAAACAGGGATTTGGGATGCCCTGAAGGCTGCACTCCACATGAAAACAGGGATCTGGAAGGCCCTGAGGGCTGCACCCTGTAAGAGGAGAAAACAGTGATTTGAGAGGCCCTGAAAGAGAAAACAGGGATTTGGGAGGCCCTAAAGGGTGCACCTCATATGAAAACAGGGATCTAGGAGTCTCTGAAGGCTGCACCCCATTTGAGGAGAAAACAGGGATTTGGGGAGGCTCTGAGGGCTGCACCCCATATGAAAACAGGGATGTAGGAGGCCCTGAGGGCTGCACCCCATATGAGTAGAAAACAGAGATTTGGGAAAAAGAAAACAGGGACTAAGGAGGCTCTAAGGGCTGCTCCTCACATGAAAACAGGGATTTGGGAGGCCCTGAGGACTGGATCCCGTATCAGGAGAAAACAGGGATTTGGGAGGCCTTGAGCACTAGACCCCATTTGAGGAAAAAACAGGGATTTATCAGGCCCTGAGGGCTGCACCTCGCGCGCAGGGAGCGCCGCTCCTTACCTCATGTGCGTTTTCAGCGCCGAGGGCTGGGAGAACTTGGCCTGGCACTCGGGGCAGCCGTAGGGCTTGTGTCCCGTGTGCGTGCGCTCGTGCAGCCGCAGCGCCGTGCGGGAGCTGAGCCCCTTGCCGCACTGGTGGCACTGGTGGCGCTCGCCGCCGCCCTCGTGCACCTGCAGCACGTGCCTCTTGACGTCCTTCTTCCTCTTGAAGCGCTTGGCGCACAGCTCGCAGGGGAAGCGGCGCTCGCTGCTGTGCACGTGCCGCTGGTGGCTGCGCAGGTTGCAGCGGTTGGCGAAGGTCTGCGCGCACGTCTCGCAGCGGAACTCCAGCGCCGAGGCGATGCCGTGGCTCTGCTGGATGTGCTTCAGGAAGCTCTTCTCGTACAGGAACTCCTTCTGGCACGTGCCGCACTTGAAGGCGCCGCCGCGCTTCTTCTTGTCCTCCTCCTCCTCTTCCTCCTCCTCGCCCTTGGCGGGGTTTTCCTGGGAGGCCGCCGCGGGTTTGCTGGAGTTCTCCTCCTGTTCCCGCTCTCCCTCCTCGCCCTTGGGCTGCTTTTCCTCCTCGGCGTTCCGCTGCTGCTCCCGCAGCCTCCGCGTGTATTTCTTCTTGGGGATCTCCACGAACACCTTCCTGCCGGCCAGCCGCCCGCTCGCCCTGCGGATCTTGGTGTAAGGAGCCTTCAGCACTTCCTTCTTTTTGTCCGCCTTCTCCTTGGCCTTGGCAGCCGGCCCCTCGGGAGACGCTCCGGAACAATCCGGAGGGTCCCGCTCGGCCTTGGCCGTGGGCACGGCGCTGGGGCGGGCGGCGCTCTCCTCCTCGGAATTCTGCGACTCCGAGAAGTTCTGCAGCTCCAGCAGCACGGACTCCAGCATCTGCCTCTTCAGCTGGAAGCAAGTCTCGGAGAGATCCAGGCACTTGAGCTTCTCGGCGATCTCCAGCATGCGCTGCACCCTGTCCTCCTCCACCTCCACGCGCGCCGTGTAGACGAACTCCAGGAAGGAGGCGAAATCCGCCACGCGCACCTCGTTGAGGAACACGTTGCTGCGGGGGCCGTCCACGGGCTCCTCGTTGAGGAAAACCTCCTTGAAGAACTTGCTGGTGGCGGCCAGCACGGCCTTGTGCGCCGGGAACTCGGCGCGCACGCCCTGGTACTCCACGCTGACGGTGACGTCGCACAGGTGGCCCAGCAGCCGCAGCTGCTGCATCTCGTTCAGCAGGTTGATGGGGGAGGACTTGGACTCCAGCAGGACGGGGGTGCTTTCCATCTTCCTTCTCCCTGCTGAAGATATTCCTACATCAGGCAGCGGGATTCCGCGTGTTTGGGGCGGACGGGGTCAGGGTTTTGTGGAATCGCTGGGGCTGGGAAGAGCTCCGAGGTTGTTTAATCCAACCTGGAAGTGATCTCCACCTCCTCAAGAAAACCATGGGGTGAATCTGAGCTTAAACCCCAGCCCTAGTTTTCCATGAAACCCAGAACCTACCCTTTGAGACAGGGGTGGAGCAAACAGAGCTGGCACCTGGAATTAAGGAATGATTCCTGGCCTCACCAGGTGATAATAAAGGAAGGCAAGATTAAGCAAAAATTCACTGCTGTCCTAAAAACCCATCTGAAAATGCCTTCCACATAAAATTCCAAGCTCTTATGTGATGTGATGGATAATTGTATCCACACACTGAAAATCCCCAAAATGATGGGAATTCCTCAAAATGGACTCACAGCCTGCACATTTTGGAGGCCCATTTCCAACCTTCCATTGGGCCCTATTTCTCAGGAATGCCTGAAGCTGCTCCAAAGCTTGTAAAAAGAGTGGAAGTTTTGGTGTGTTTTCCCAAATATCTAACCCCAGAACAAACCAGGTTTCTATGGATTTAATGGTGCTCTGAGGAATCGTTTGAGCCTAACCCTGTTCCTACCAGAATCTCGGGAATTTCTTTCCATGTCCTGGGAATTAAGTGATGTCTCACCCAATGCTTTATAAACAATCAGTGATACCTAAGTGCCACGTTTTTTACCCCAATAAAATTATTTTTAACTACTTCTCGTGTTATTTCACAACTATCCCTCTAATTCCATTTGGGCACTGTCCCTTTCTCAGGAACACCTCCCTTTCCAGAGGCAAAACTGGCTGGAAAGAGACAAAAAGGAGAGTGGGGAGAGGATTCCCAGGCAGCCGCTGCTGAACTCATGGAGAGCCCCACAGTGCCCACTTCCAACCCCATTTCCCAAGGACCTGGATCACACGGGAATGCTGGGGTGGGGGAAAAGACGCGGGGAAAAAGGGGAGAGAAAAGGGGGGGAAACAAGGAGGGGAAGGAGGTGAGAAGAAAAGGGAAGGGAAAAGAAGGGGGAGAAAGAGGAGGGAAAAAAAGGGGGAAAAAAGAGAAGGAGGGGAGGGAATTAGGGGGAAAGAGGGGAGGAAGAGAAGGCCAGCCCGCCCTGGCCCCCGCACTCACGGCTGCCGCCCCGTTCCCGGTTTGTTCCCGGTTTGTTCCCGGTCCGTTCCCGGCCGCTGCTCCCGCTCAGCCCCGGGCGCGGCCGGAAGCGCTGACGCGCCACGACCCCGGCGGAGGCGCGCCGGAAGTGACGTCATGAAACGCGCCGGGCGTTGCTAGGCAACGCGGCCTACCCCGCCCCCGGCTTTGGCATTCCCAAATCCCGGCGTTTTCCCCTGGGAAATGCGGGCGAATGAAGGAGGGACGGGCTGGGCAGCTCTGGCAGCTTTATTAAAGGAGGAATTGGTGATTTACAGCGCTGTGTTTGTATAAACACACACCCCGCCCTGCCCATTCCCAATGGGATGCTCCCACAGCTTTGGGAAAAATAAATCTCTGGACAGATGCAAACATTTCAGTGGAATAAATACCCTCATGAGGAATTACCCCTTTACCACCAGCAATGCAGCTCTCGAGGCAGCTGCAGTGACCATTGGGAATGAGTCCCTGCATTCCAAAGGATAACCCCCACCATTCTGCCTCCAACCGCCCATTTTTGGGTTTAAAACTGACTTTATAAGTACAAAAGGGAGGGGTCAGTGTCCCCAAGCCCAGGTGTCACGTGTGCTGCTGCTGCTGCTTTAGCACTTCCTGGTTTATAAAGTTTCCCGTGGTCAACCGTCCAAATTTCGGGCACAGGATCTCCTCCTGGATGTGCTTCCACTAAAGTCTCTATTTTGGACCAATTGTGGTCTTTTTTTTGTGTGAGGTCAATCAAGAAGCTTCTCCAGTGAGCATTCCGGTCATGGATCTGGGAAAACAAAAGGGAGCGGGACAGGATAACAATTAGATCTGATTTTTCACTGCCAAGTGTTTAACTAAATCCAACAATTCTGGGATAACTCCATGATCCCGCACTCCAAGTCTTAACTCAAACACAAAGAAGGCTCTTTTGCCAAATCCGTGCTGAATTTCTGGCTCTGCTGCCATGGAATGCATCCAAAATCAGCTGGAATTTCAGCACACAGGCAAAATATTGACAGGGAACCTCCTGTTCTGTCTGTGCTGTCACTTCCAGGACCTGGAGGTCTCTGGGAAGAGCCAAGCTCAGCATTTTCCAGCAGAACCCTGGGAATGTGTGAATTCCTGCAAATGTGCAGCACGAGGTTGAATAAACCATGGTGTTATGGGGCTGGAATGAGGGTTAAAGCATTGGAGACTCTGCAGTTAATCCATAAAAAAATCTAAAATCCTGAGTCCTTCCTCAAATGCTTTCAAGGAAGCATGAGGAAAAATCTTGGAGATGACAACCACCAGGAAGTGCTGTATCCAGTCACTCCCAAGGATGGTGACACTTCCCCTAGGGCTGGGAGGTGACAGGATTGGCAGCCACCAGTGGGAGCTGGCGTGCCGCTGGAGCAAAATCCCACAAAGTTCAGGAGAAGATGGTGGCTTTAAGATGGCGGCCTCAAGATGGCAGTTTTAAGATGGCGGCTCACTTGCACTGCCCTGAAACTCATCCCTAGCACAGCCCCTCCTGAGGGCTGGACATCCCCGCTGCCAGGATGGCTCTGGCAGGCTGGAGGTGGCACTGAGGAGGGGAAAGATGCCATGGGGGGGTGTCCTACCGCCACGTGCCGGCGCAGGGTGGACATGTCGGTGAAGGGCCTGTCGCAGGCGCGGCACTTGTAGGGCTTCTCGCCGGTGTGGATGCGCTGGTGGCGCCGCAGAGCTCCCTGCTGCGTGAAGGCCTTGCCACACTGCTCGCAGAAATAGGGACGGGTCTCTGGGAATGACAGGGACAGCAAAGAGTTAGGGGCACTTAGGAGAGAGCAGCTGGCTCTTCCCTGGAAGTGTCCAAGGCTGGATGGGGCTTGGAGCAAGCTGGGAGAGTGGAAGATGTGGAATGAGATGACCCCTAAGGTCCCTTCCAAATCCCAACCATTCCATGATATATATTTCCCAATACCTGCCAAGGCTACTCTGTAACTCCATCCTCTACTCCAAATTCATTCAGCTGCACACTCCAGGCCTCAGTTTTCCAGGACACCACCCAACGCTCCCACGAGCTCTGCTTCCCAACGGAATTTCCATCCTTGGAGGTGTCCAAGGAATGCCTGGAAGTGCCACTCAGTGCTCTGGGCTGGTGACAAAGTGGGGATTGGTCACAGCTTGGACTCCATGACATGGGAGCTCTTTTCCAACCTCAGTGATTCTGTGATCCCCTAATTCAGCAATGGGCTGGAATGTCCCCATGCACACTGGGAAGTACCACAAAGCCACCATTCCTTTTCCCAGCCTTGGAATTACCTGCATGGACGTTGCTGTGCTGGGCCAGGGAGGCTCTGAGTCCGAAGGCTTTCCCACAGACCTCACACCTGTAGGGTTTGGCTCCCAGGTGACAGCGCTTGTGGCACTTGAGGTACTCGTTGGTGGCAAAGTGCTTCCCGCACACGTCACACCTGAAGAGCCGCTCTCCTGAGGGAAGAGAAACCAAACGTTGGGAATTCTCCCAGGGGAATTCTGTCCTTCAGAATCAGTCTGCAAATCACAGAATTCAGGCTGGAAAAGACCTCCAAGGTCATCGAGTCCAACCAGTGCCACATCCAGCTGTCCCCTGAGCACATCCAGGCATGGGGACTCCATCCCATTCCAATGCCTGATAACCCTTTCCATGAAGGAATTCTTCCTGATATCCAACCCGAACCTCCCCTGGCACCACTTGAGGACATTCCTCACATCCTATCACTTGTTCCTTGGGAGCAGAGCCAAATTCCCCTGGCTCCCATCAGGGAATTGTGGAAGGCAACAAAGTCCCTCCAGAGTCTCCTTTTCTCCAGGCTAAAAGTCCTTCTATCCCTATGAATTCCTTCCTGGTACTTGGATACTCTTCCATGAGTTAAAAAAAAAAAAAGGGAAAAAAAAGAAAAAAAAGGGGGCATTTATTTCATTTCTCACCAATAAAACAGGAAAAGGAGGGGAAAACCACCTGGGATATTGAATTCCCACCTGTGTGTGTCCTTTTGTGGCCAGTGAGTTTTCCTTTGTCGGCAAAGGAAGCGCCGCAGTCCTCACAAATGTAGGGCTTCTCCCCAGTGTGGGATCTAATGGAGAGAAAACACCAAAGATCAGTAATTAATTAGGTCTTGATCCCTAAAATACTGGATTTGAAACGATGCTTGGGTTTTAAATGTAGTGGGAAAAGGAAATTCTGCTCCCTCAGAAAACTGTTTCCAGGTACAGGTGCTACACTCCAGGAGTAAAACTCCCATTTAAAATTTACCTTTTAAAATTCAAAATTCCCATTTAAAATTTACCTTTTCATTGCTTTCAGGCCCTAAAAAATCCATCTTTTTTTCCCAGACAGCTCAGAGCATGGGAAAGGAGAAAGAAGGGGAAACAACAGAAAATGACAAAGAATCAGAAAAATCTGAGCATAATCTTAACTTATTCCAACCCAAACAGGATGATGTCCAAAATCATTCCTGATTTTGAGCTGTCAGGACAAAAGATTATCATCAATCTTGCTCTGGAGAAAGATGGGAAATTCCATGGGATGATTCACCCTCTCCTGGGAAAGGGCACATCCACACAAGACACCACCAGGGAACAACTCATCCCATCAAGCTCCAGCTGAGCAGCGCAGATTTGGAGTTGCACACGGAGAAGAAATCCCATGGCAATTCCTTGCTCTGAGGGCGAGCACTGCTCAGGGTCTGTTTCTCCAGGATCCCTGACTCACTCTTCATCACTGAGGGCCACTGTGGGATTTTAGAGTCTGTCCCAAATGACGGATATTCCGTGCAAGTTTGGACAGGGTATCCATGTCGAAATCCCGACCATGAGAGATGCAATGTGGAGCCAAAGCCTTTGCGTAAGGGAATTAATCACGGACCCCACTGAACCCGATATCCCGGCATATAAGGGGCAAGGAATGTGCATGCCTGGAATCTGACCTGGTATGGATCTTGAGCTGGGAGGGCTGAGCAAACCGGGAGTGACACACGCCGCACTCGTAGGGCTTCTCTCCGGTGTGTGTCCGCATGTGGAACACCAGCGCCGTGCGGGAGCTCAGGATCTTGCCGCACACGGAGCACAGCGGCCGCTTGGCCCTGCCCTCGTGCTTCCGCATGGAGTGAGTCCTCACATCCCGCTTCCTCTTGAAGGTGGCCTGGCAGAGGCTGCAGGAGAACCTCCTCTCGTCGCTGTGCACGCAGGCGCGGTGCTCCTTCCAGCTGGTGTAGCTGGCGAAGGCCTTGCTGCACACCTCGCAGCGGTACACCTTGCCAGGCAGGCTCTGGTGCACCTCCCGGCAGTGATCCACGTATTTCTTCCGCGAGACAAACCGCTCCTGGCACTTGTCGCACTGGATCACGTAGATGGATTTCTTGTTGGCCACGCTTTTAGTGGCCTTCTTTAGTTTAAATCCCTGTTCGGGTTCTTTGCTGTCCTTCTCTGTTGAGGCTTCATCCTCATCCTCCTCCTCAGAACATTCCTCGTTGTGCCTGCTTCTTTCAGCTTCCGAGTATCCTGTGTTATAGTCTCCCTGCTCCTCGCCCTTCACACTCATTCCACCTTCATCTTCATGCCCTCCTTCAGCTTCCTGGGATTCCTCTTGCTTGCTCCTTTCTGCTTCAGCAATTGATGAATTCCCGGCATCTTCCTCACACCCTGAGGTTTCTGGTGTCCCATCCCAAGTCTCTCCATCGGGATCTTTGTCACAGCTCGTGGGGTTTGGGCCATGTGTGGGTGGAACCACCATCCAGTAGACAGGCAGGAGTTTCCTCTCTTGCCCAGACTCATGGGTTTTCCTGTTAAAAATGGAGGACAACTTCCATTAAGTTTGATTTAAACTTATTAATTGTTTAATTGTTCTAATTCAGGCCTTGGGGGAAGAGTCCTTTCCTTTGAATTGTTCCTTCCACCATTTAAGAAATTTCCATCACGTTTGGAAAGCCTGAAAATAGAGAGATTTTGGGAAGAGTTGGACCAGATAATTAAAGAAAATTAAAATGTCTCAGTTCATTAAGATCTGTATGTTTCACGTGATCAGGAATGTAGGACGGACTTTTCCTCCCAGGCCATGAAATTATGGATTTAAACAAAAAGAAATAGAGATTAAATGCCCAGATAGAGACACAAAATTCCTCCTTAAAACCCCAAATCTGAGGATTCCAAGGAAATCCGGTTGCACAAGTCCCCCTTAATCCAATGGGAAATTGCACATCTAGGAGACCTCCAACCACTCATCCGCACTGCAGGGCCAAGTAAAAAATTTCAACACGCTTTGAGTCAGCTCCAAGGAATTCTGGAACTGAGTCAGGGAGGACTCCAGGAATGATTTACCCTGGAATCCCAGGGAAGGGCATTCCCAGGAATGCTGTACCTGAGGTGGGAGGTGTAGGCAGCCCTGTGGGTGAAGCTGGCGGGGCAGCGCTGGCAGCGGAAGGGCCGGTCCCCAGTGTGTGTCCGGATGTGCACGGCCAGGCCGCACTTGGAGCTGATGGCCTTGTCACAGTAGGGACACTCCTGGGATTCCTGCTTCCCCTCCTGCCCCCTGTGGAGGGAATGGCCATCCTTGTTTTCCAGGGTGGTGATATCCACACCCAGCCTGGCTGGGGAATGTGGCTTGTTGCACTTGGGCTGCTTTGCCGGCCTGGATTTTGGGGCTGGAAAAGCTGTGGCCTCCTGCTCCAGGTCTCCTGCTTGGCCTCCAATGAGCTCATAGCCCGGCAGCAGCTCCTTGTGTTTCTGCCTATCCCAAAGTTTCCTCTGCATGGGAATTGCCACAACCTGGGAAGAGTTCCTGGGGTTCTCCTCTTGCTGGATACAAGGCCACTGCGATCCCCTGTTTTCACCCCTCTGCCCTTTCAGGTGCTGGCTCAAATCCAAGCCCTTCCTGCCCTCTGCCTTCACTTCCTCACAAATATCAAGCAAATCCTTGCATTCCAGCCTTTCTGCTATTTCCTTCATCCTCTGGAGTTTTCCCGCCTCGATCTCCACCTCTGCTGTGTACACAAACTCCAGGAAGGAGGTGAACTCCTCGGTGTAGATGTCCTGCAGAGTCACCGTGCACTTCTGAGTGTCCAGCATCTCCTGGTGCAGGAAAAGCCCCTTGAAGTAGTTGCTGGAAGCTGCCAGGACGGCTTTGTGAGCCAGGAATTCCTCCTGAATTCCCAGGTGCTGGGTGAGGACCGTCACGTCGCACAGGTGCCCAAGCCGGTACAGGGAATGCAGAGCCCTCAGGAGGTTGGGAGCAGCAACCTTGGACTTCATCAGGATTTTCTTCTTCTCCATCCTGCCAGAAGAAACAGAAAAACGTTGGAATGATTTTTCCTATCTTTCCATTCAAGCCCAGTGGAATTCCATGCCCTAATTCCTTGTTCACCCTTCACAGGTGGAATTGTAGAACCACTGAGATTAGAAAAGATCTCCAACCTTTGATGGAGCACTGCCACCTGAACTAAACCATCTCCCAGGAGCAGGAAATTGAGGGACTATGGGCAAAAGAGTGTTTCTTAAATTCTACTGGAAAAGGATTGCTCACATCCACATTCCTACTGGGTAATTCCCACAGCCAGCAGGGTTCTCTGCAACGCTCCCAACCCAACACCTGCCAACCATTCCCACATGGAGACACAACTCTAGCACAATGGAAGCAGTGCAGATCCCGAGGTTCAGCTCCAAAATCCACAGGAGCTTCCAGCCCATCTGCTGCCTCCATGTTTTCCAGCAGGAAATCCTGGTTTGTGTGCAGTGCTTAGAGAAATCAATGAGAGCAGCACGTGCTAATTTCCTGCTGCTCCTTTGCGAGATTCCCATCTGCGATAAGATCCCGATCCGTGCTCCCACAGGAGTTCCTCTAACACCAGGATCTGACATGGAGCCTGATGGGAGAGATAAATTCCAAGATCACCTCCGAGTTCAGCTGCTTCTGGATTAAACCCCCCCAGCAACTGAGGCATCTTTCCACAAATCCATCAATTCCCACCATTTTCTCCTTCAGAAAAAACCCTGAGATTTGCATTTTCTGCTCCCATTTGGAAGCTGATCTTTAGTTTTCCAAAGTGCTGCTGAATCCTTAAGTCTCCAAAACACTCACTCCAAGGATTTAAACAAAATCCCCATTTCCTCCTCATTTTATGAGTTTGTTTGTAACTTCTTTCCAGCCTTTTCCCTGGCAGTTTGCGAATAAGTACTTTAAAAATGTGCACACGTGTGCAAGATTTGCAGAAAGCATAATTAATCCAAGAGATTATTTGCAAAGACACTTTAATTGCAGCAGAACTGATGCAAAACTCAAACCATATTTCAATTCAATTACAGAGTTCCTGATGAGGAATTGGAATCAGCGCAACTGGAACTGGTACAATTCCTTTAAAAAATAAAGCCCAGCAGTGGCCTGAATCTATGAGAAAATATTTTTATTTGTATATTTTTATAATGTCCATTTACCTGCTGGAAAAATTTCTATTTTATGCACCTGAAATCTTCATTTATGAAGATAAATCTTCATTTATGATGTTTCAGAGCATCCCTATTTATCGTTCAGGATCAATCTCCATTTACCCCCCAATCTGTATTTATTCTCCAGGAAAATCCCTATTTATGCTCCAGGAAAGAAACCAAACCAAACCAAACCAAAAAACCAAACCAAAACAAAAACAAAACAAAACCAAACAAACCTACACAAAAAAAACACACACAAAAAAAAACCCAACAGAAACAAACCAGCACTCAATTTGCGCTCCAGTAAAACCTCCATTTATGCTCCAGAGAATTTCCATTCTCCCTCCAGCAAACTGCTGGCCAAATTCCTCTGAAAGTCCTAAAGTTTGGGGTTTATTTTGAAACACAGAGCACTTGGATTTCTCCCTGCCCACGTTACCTTCGGGACACCCCTGCAAAGGCTCCTCCTCCGAGGAATTCAAGGCTGGCCCAGCACCGGCGCTCACCATCCTTCGGGAATGCCGCCGTGCCGTGCCGCTCCTTTTACCGCTGGCACAGCCGGGATCATTTTCTAGATTTTGAATGCAGCCACAAGGTTTTTATCCGTAGATGTGAAGCGCTGCGAGGAAAGCAGAGATAGGGAATGTTTATCCCAGCGGCAGGCTCAGCGCTCCGGGACACGAGGGGTCACCTGTGCGCTTCCGGAGGCGGCAGCAGCCGGGAATCGCCTCCCGCCCGGCAGCAGCAGCCCAGATCGCTCCCGCCGCTCCCGGGGGTGATTCCCGGTGCTCCCGGACGCCATCCCGAGGGTCCCTCCTGGCCCCGGCCCGCCCTTACCCCGCCGCCGCTGCCTCCGCCGGCTCCCGCCCGAAAGCGCCATGGCGGCCACGGCCTCAGCGCCTCAGCGCCGCCGCCATTTTGAGTGAGGGCAGGGCGTTCCCACACAACTGGGGAAACTGGGGAAAAAACCTTTAAATCGTGCCTTAAATCGACCCGAATCCCTCCCCCCTCAAAAAAACCCATTCGCAAAATGACCCGTTTTGGAAACAGTTTGTTTTCACTCTTTCAAAAAGTCAGGTTAAATTACCTCAGTGATGTGTGTCCTCAGTTTGCTGGGGCAGCTCCTCGTGCTCTCCCAGTGAGGATACTGGGATATCCATGAGGGTACTGGGATATCCATTGTGGATACTGGGATATCCATTGTGGATACTGGGATATCCGTGAGGATACTGGGATGTCCATTGTGGATACTGGGATATCCGTCAGGATACTGGGATGTCCGTTGTGAATACTGGGATATCCACTGTGGATACTGGGATATCCATGAGGATACTGGGATATCCACTGTGTGTACTGGAAGATCAGTGCCTGTGAAAAACGCCAGCATAACTTTCTAACATCACACATATAATATTAATTTTAATATTTGCAAAAAGCCAATCATAAAATATGCATTTTTCACACTGCCAGAGTTAAGAGAGGTGTTTATATAAACCAGTACAAAGCTCTGAAATTTAGTGGGGTAAATCCGGGATTAGGACAAACACAAGGTCTCCCTGTTTCTTCCCACTGGTGATCCCATATTCCTGTCTGTTATCACATAAAATAATTTAAAGGTGGGCTACCAAGCACTTCCAATTTTTTTCCAAGATAAATTCCTCTTTTGAAGCATTTTTTCCCACTTAAATGCAGGTTTTTAAGTCTTCACATTTTAACAGCTTGAAAAAATGTTGGATGACTGTAATTCCCCGAGGAAATGTAAAATAAATTCCTTCATAAAAAAATAAATCAGGAAAGGCAGACATCTGTGTTATCCACGTTTTCAATTCTGATTATTTTGTTTGTAGCCAGGGAATGTTTCTATTGTCCAGACACAGCTCTTGAAGCAGGAAGAATGAGCAGCAATATGAGTGATCCATGTTGAAAATGTCAGGATAATATTCCTGTATCTTCGCACGAGGGAATGGTGTTTGCTTTTCCTTTATCGGAAACTTGCGTGCTCGGCAGCTCTCACCCAGAGGAGCTGGGAAGCTCTCAGCCAATTTAGTCTGAATTCCACAAGGATGGAGGGAATTTCTGGATACACTGCTGGGCTGTATCCATGTGTCCATCCCAGGAGGGATTTTCCCAAGGCTGGATTTTGCTCTGCTCTTTGCCACCAGTTTTGTTTCTCAGGAGATTCACTTGATTCTCCAAATGTTCCATGCGCTTGGATGTACTTCAGGGGTTCTCTAGAACCCATGGAATTCTCCATGTCTCTCCTGTGGGGAGAGAGAAGGAACAGCATCATAGCTGCTCTTTCCCAATCCCTAATTTTGCAATTTCAACAGAAGGGATGAAACACGTGGGAGGCAGCTGTGAGAGATGCCAGTCCCAGGTGTCCTGTGGTGGGTGAAGAATTCCAGGCGCCGGGATGGCGAAATAAAACAACCTGTTAAGCCAAAACAACAAAATCCAGGAAAGAATTGGAGCCTGGGAACTCAGATTTTATCTGGGCACTTCCCTTGGTTGGGAGTGGAGAAATACCATAGGTTTTGATCGTGGTGACTAAAACCAGGAAAAGGGGGAAAACTGGGAGTTGGCTCTGCCAGTCAGGTTCTGCTTCTGATCCATTTGCTGTTTGTGGCTCAAGGTCAGCCAGGACATCTCCAGCAAAGCAAGGGATGAAAGTGTTCCCAAATCCCAAGTTCCTTCCCCCTGCAGCACAGCAGGAAGCGGCGCCAGGGCATTGGTGATTTTGGCTCTTCCCAGCAAAGCTAGGGGACATTTTGGAGCCCCCCAGTGAAACATCCGTGTGTGTATTCCCTGGATGGATATCCCTTCCTTACAGCTCCACCAGAGGATGCTGCAGGCTTCGGAAAGAGCTGCCTGGACTGTAGCCCTGCTCATCCCCTTAATCCAGAGGAATCCGGCCATGGATATCAACCATGGCACTGCAGAGAGAGCTTCCAAAAGCCTTTTCTCAGGAGCCAAGCAAACCTCCATATCATGTGTGAAGCAGGGACAGAGCTTTCAGCATGGGCTAAAAATGCAGATTCCAGAGAAAATACTGATGGAAAGCACAGAGCAGCCCTTGCTCCGTGTGTCAGCACCGAGCTCTGCTTAGCCTCTTGTCCTGTTCTCCATAAGAAATCTTGGCATGGAATCGTGCTACAAATCAAACATCTCATGATTTCTCCCCCTCATGTTCAGTCTCAAGGAGAAGGAGTTCTGTGTATCCTGGCAGAATGCTTCCAAGATACCGGTGTCACTTGAAAAACACAGGAATTGAGGGAAGTCAGTGTGTGTTTTGTCTGAAAAGGAAGATTTTAGAATCCTAAAAACCAACAAAGTTTAGTTCTCACCAAGGTTCTGGTGGGAAAAATCTGAACACCAGAGCAAACCAAGGTGGAATAGGAGAATACCTTTAATACCAGCAAGTCCAGCCATCAAATTCCAAGATCGTGGAATGGTTTTTGTTGGAAGGGACCACAAAGATGATTCAGCCCCACCCCCTGCCATGGGATACCTACCACTGTCCCAGGGTGCTCCAACCTGGTTTTGGACACTTCCAGGGATGGAGCAGCCACAACTTCTCTGGGAAACCTGTGTCAGGGCCTCTCCACTCTCACAGAGATGGATTTCTTCCCAATATCCCATCTATCCCTGCTGTCTGGCAGTGTCCAGTTCCTCTTGTCCCATCATTCCAGGCTCGTGGAAATAATCTCTCTCCATGTTTCTTGTAGCTCCTTCAGGTCCTGGAATGCCGCCTTTGGGTAATCCCAAAGCTTCTCTTCTCCAGGCTGAACACTTGGAGCTCTGGGAAACCAACGACTTTCACGGATAAAGGAAAGGCGATCAATGAATTAAGTAAAATATAATTAAATAAAAAAATAAATAACAAATCAGTTAAAAGTCCTTTTCACCCCTCTGTGTTCCCTGGGGTTATGGAGCGAACACTTTGGATGCCAACTCCATGTCCCTGATGTGGGGACACATCCAAGAGTCACTGGAAGGGCTCCCACCAAGGTCAAGACCCCAGTTTGGGAAGGTTTCTCTGGAATGAACTTGGAGCCAGCTCAGCAGCACCCTGGGCATGAAGGAACACAGGATTTTGGCTCTGGGCTGTGAATTCCGGACGTTCCCTTTAATTTTTCTTGGGATCTCATTCCTGTGTTAGTGGTGTTTGTGATAGGATGTATTCCCACAGCTTCAGGGGAAGAGGGAGTGGGGCTGCTTTAGGATTCATTCCCTGCAATCCTGACCCTACACTCCTGACAAGTGATGTGTTAGGGTGATGGAAATCCAAATTTTGGGAGTGTATCTATGATGTTTTCCTTCTGGCACAAAATAAATCCTCAGCACAGCTCATTTACTTGTTTATCACACATTTTTAAGCTCTTGGCACTTTGCAAAATGCTTTTCCTTCTTCTCCCAAATATTTTAACCCCTGCTAAACTGTGGGCACCAAACCCAGAAGTTGCCTCTGGAAGCAAAGGATTTTCCATCATTGTCCATGGATACTGAAGGCCTGATCCATGTATTTTTAACTCCTTAACACTCCCCAGTCAAGCCCAAATTGAAATTGTTTTAATTGATTTTTAAATAGTTGAGTTCTGGTTGAACTTTGAAATAGGTGAGTCTGGGGGCTATGGAATATCCTAAAGATCCTGTTTCCCCGTCTGGGGTCTGGAAAACAGGTGGATAATGTTTAGTCTCCAGCTAATGGACAGGATGTTAACGCTTTTCCCGCTTGGAAAGGAGCTGCCTCCTGTTTAGTTACAGTTCAATATAAAACAAATATTCCATTAGCAATAGGAGGTAGGGAGGAAAATCCCTTTTTTTGCCCCCCTCTTCTCCACAGGGTTCCTTCCAACTCAATATTCCGCCATAAAGCTGTACGGAATGGAGAAGATCCCAGGGAGTAAATTCAGATTAGCACCTTGCTGCCAGCCAGAAGAAATCCAGCAAAACAACCCCCAAAGTTATTCCTAATGGCAAGAAAAGAGGGAATTCCTGACAGATTTACGCTCCTGGTGTTCCAAGACTCCGATTAAAAGAGCTGCTGATTTCATGGAGGTGATTCCGGACAAATTCCAGCTGATCCCAGCTGTTCACCAGGGAAAAAGATAAGGAAAATAAATCTAAATACATCAGATTAAGTGGTGTTTTTCCAGCAGCTGGCTGTGTTTTTCCCTTGTTCCCCAGAAAGCAGCATTCCCTTGCAAGATCCCAAACTTCATGTCCTCCTACAGAAGCCTCTTGACTTTTAGCCACCAGAATTATCCCAAATTTTTTTTTTTAATGTAAATATCTGGCTTCCCAGCAATAATATTTTTCCCTCAGTGTTTATTTTTCCTTAGTGCTGAGCGCTCACCGTGGTTTGTGAATCCAAATTATTTGGGGGACAAGCAGGAATCTCAGTTTATATCTGCGTCCTGAGCCCTGAGTGTTTTCAGGGAGAGTATTCCTGCCTCCAGGTGCTCCTGCAAGGATGAGAAAATGCCCTTTTTTCGTCCCAGTTTGGGTGTGGAATCTTGGCACAGGAATGGCTAAACATGGAAGGAGCAGCTGCCTGGAGAAACAAACACCTGGCAAAATATTTTGGGGAATTTCAGGATGAGTCATCCTGGGCCTTGCTGGGGAAGCTTGGCCCCAGCTGCAGCTCGGGAGGTTGCCTTTAGTTCCACAGAATCCCATGGAATTACTGAGGATGGAAAAGACCTCCAGGATCATCGAGTCCAACCTGTCACGCAGCCCAGGAGTGCCACATCCAGGTATTCCTTGGACTCCTCCAGGGATGGGAATTCCAAACCTTTCTGTGCCGTTCCAATCCTTAACAGCCGATTCCATGAAGAAATTCCCATCTGCCGTCATCTCTTATTCCATCCAGGCCTGTTCCAGAGTTCCAAATGTCCCTGGGTGATTCCAATG